CTAAGTCAGTGCTTTCCACACCCTGCCGTGCACGGGCAGCACCTGGCAGCTTGTTAGAATTCTGTCTGGGTGGGTCCTGAGATTCTTTCTGTATTTCTAATAAGCTCCTCTTGCTTCAGACCAAGTAGGAAGGGTCTGAAGTGTCTCATATGGGTGGTCCTTATACTTGTATAAGAGGAAATTTGATAGGAAAATCTCAAGTTTTTCACAGGTAAATCAGGTAACTTGATTCTATTTTTGATCAATAAAGGATTCACTATTGGAATTCTTAATAAAGAGCTCATAATACAAAATCGGCTTTAAAAATAACAAAGAATTATTTTTTTAGAAAAGGATTTGATTCACTTAAGGGACACCCTTTAAGATGAGGGATACTTGTGATAAAGTTCGATACACAACTACTTGTCAATGGGGCCCTTAACTGAGTGCCAGCGACCGTTTTGCTGACTTCTTGCTACTAATTGGATTTGACTGAAAGCCTCCAAATTGAAAATACAGTAAATTCCAATTTGGAGAAGATTAATGGTAGCAAATTCTGCTTTCAAGTTTATTAAGAATACCCCAATTCTCTGCTCTATGGTTTCATCATTCATTCAATCAATCAATACCTGTTGAGTGTCTATTACAGCTAGACACTTACGGACGCTGGAGCAGAGTGGTGGGAAAGACCAAGTCCCACGAGCCCACGGAGCACGTATCCCAGAGGGCGAAATTAAGACACTCACAGTGGAAACAAAACAGGAAGCAGGGATATCAACTGTAGGGCGCCAGAGGGAGGGCCGGCAGCTGTTTTAGATGGCCGAGGGTCTCCTTGAGGAAGTATTACTTGAACGAAGATGGCCTGGATCTGATGGTGCCCTGACTTCATGGGTGAATGTGGCAGACACTTCATTTTGTTAACACTAATGCTCTTCATTTCTATATTGGGTCCTGGATGTATTTAACAATCTAAAGTCTTACCCTGGAATAGGCTGTATGACGAGGCTTTAGGGTTAGGAAAATTTTATTATGTTTTAACTTAAGTACACATTTAGGTCATGAGACCCTACAATGGAAGTACAAACATTTATGGTAAAATAGGTTATTGAGTATGGAAGACAAAATCTATAGTCTGAAGTCAGATTTGGTTTGAAATATGAACTGCAGATCCATGGGTATACTATGGGTGTGGGCTTGGGAAACCTTTTATGATTCTTTTTTTTTTTTTTTTTTTTTCCCAGGGGCTGGGTTTGAACCCGCCACAACTGGTATATGGGGCCAGCGCCCTAACCCTCTGAGCCACAGGTGCCACCTTTTACGATTCTTAATTTTCTTCTCTCTAGAGGCAGAATCATCATATGTTGCATATTTTAAGGGAGGTTAATTTTTTTTTAAACTTGGTACAAGTAGGCCCTCGATGTAAGGGGGATTTTCACCTCCATCTGAGGAGCCGCACCTGACCCAGGGTAGGCACCTGCTGGGGGTCCCTTCCTACTGATTCTCACTGCCAGTTTCTCTGCAGCTCTCCATTTGTGCAGATAAATAAGACTCAGTGGTACGTGCATTTTTGCTTGATAGAATTTCATAGGACTCATTTCATCAGTTCCTGATTAGCTTCAAAGCTTCGACTCAAACCCAGTTTTGAGATAACTGGGAAATGAAACTGAGTGGAAAAAACAAACGCTGCATTGTGAGAGACGCAAAGGTCGGCCTGAGGTTGTCTGATGTCTTTAAACTAACATCATCTTTAATCTCCTACGCCCTTCTCTCCAGATAGCAGGAGCCGTGCGCTGTGAGTGCTGAGATGCAGTAATGGGGAACAGGACACTACAACAGACGTCTGAGAGGGTCTGTGTAATTTACTGCATGTCTGCTTTGTTTCACTTTCAGAGTCTTCCTGTTGCTCTAGGAAATTTGCCTCTTCTGGCAACCTCCGGCCCTCTTGCCCAGGGAATCCTGAAAAAGCATCTGCGGGTGAGCTGAGGGGGTGTGAGCACAGGCCCTGTCTCCTGTGTGACAGTGAAGGCAAAGTACCCTCGGCACTTGTTTGAGAGAATTATCCTGAATACAGGGAACCGAGAAGCTGCTGCGTGTGCAGAGACACAGAGCGAGAGTTACAGGAGAGAGCACTAAAGCCTCCTGCTAATTCCCTGCACCCCTGGGGAGAAGCCTTGCAGGCCTGGGTAAGTGTGGGAACAACAGAAAGGTGCTCTCTGTGCCAAGAGGGGGATGGGCTTGACGGGAAATCCCCAAAAAGGGCCATCTGGCAGCGTAAATTATCCATTAAAGTGGCTGGTGTGAGCTAATGACACCAAAGTCACCAGGAGCATGTGCAACGCTCTTCAGTTGAGTTTTAAAGCCCCCCAGGCCCTGCTGCAGGGATGACGGTCTATGCTGAATACGGCCAAATGCAGGGATGACTTTCTACGCTGAATGGTCCTGTTACAGAGATGGCTTTCTACGCTGAATATGGCCAAATGCAGGGACAACTTTCTACACTAATTATGGCCAAACACAGGGATGTCGTTCTACGCTGAACACGGCCAAATGCAGATTTACCCACTGTCCTCTTCCTCTCCCGCTCCCACAAATGCACACCAAGAAACTGCACTTTTTGGGGGGTGGGTAATGAAATGGGGATAAAGAAGAGAGAATCAGTCCAGGAACATAATTGTGGGGGAATCTTTAAGAAGAAAATACATAAACACAGACATCTCCTAAAACAGAGTTAGCCACTAACCTTTAGTTATTTAACAACTACAGCAGATAGAGTACTCAAGGTATTAAAATTTATGAATCGTCACAGGAATGAGATGACTGTGATAAAGTCACTAGGTTGAAGTGCTCTGTATTACACCAATCCGCTGCCCCAACAGACCCCATAGAAGTCGTGTCTGCCCTTCTCACGGAGGGGCTTCCTACACGGCCATGCAGGACAGCGGCTCCAGTCTGCACAGAAAGGCATTCGTACAGCAGTCAAGCACAGGCGAGTATCGGATTCTGATCTTCACTGGAGCAGGTAAATCGGCTAGGACTCTAATCAGCCTTTTAAAATGGGTTCAAAAAAATGTAACATCTTTTAATTTTTTAATACTACATAAACTTTTCATCTGCACTGTGCTGAGCTCATGCTGACGATGTGGTTAGCAGCAAGGAGGCGTCAGCGTTTTCACGCTCATCCCGGCCTGGGTTTATTTCTTAGCCACTTTAGGCAAACTGACGTGAACACAGGGTGGGGTTCAGCAGACGTGTGACCTCTGCAGAAACGGCATGGCAACCCTGAGTGCCCAGATGCTAATATTTAGAGAAAGAAGGTGCAGAGGGTTAGTGCTACCTACCATCTCTGCACTTCCCACACCACTGCAGTGTGGCTGCATCTGGGCCTGTTTCCATCCCTGCTGTGAATTTCTGGAGAGCAGGGGCCATCATCTTCCCATCCACCCCTGAGTTCCCAGAACTTGCCCTGTGCCTCACACAGAGAAACTTCCAGTGAAGACTGCAGAGTGAGTGAGTGGAGGGAGAGGAGCAAGTAGAAGGAGAGGGAGGGAAACATTTCCATTTCAATAAAGGGAGAAAGATAAAAGACCCAGCTGGAGGGGTGTGAACTGTTGTTTTGTTTTCGGTTATGATCTGGGAAAACTAACTGGGGATGGGAGGGGAAGGTCCATGTTCTGTGAACACTGACATTTCTGTAGATTACTACAGCCACCACTACAACCAGGATAAAGAGCTGTCACCTCCCAAACCTCCCTAGAGCTACACCTTTACAGGCACAGCCTCTGAGGGTTGTCTGTAATCACAGCACTCTGGGAGGCCGAGGCAGGTGGACCGCCTGAGTTCACAGGTTCAAGACCAGCCTGAGCAAGAGTGACCCCATCTCTAAAAACAGCTGGGTGTTGTGGCGGGTACCTGTAGTCCCAGTACTCAGGAGGCTGAGCTGAGGCAAAAGAATCGCTTGAGCCCAGGAGTTAGAGGTTGCTGTGAGCTATGACATCATGACACTCTACAGAGAGTGACAAAGTGAGACTCTCTCTCAAAAAAAAAAAAAAAAAATCCAGGGAGGAGAGAAGTGAGTTAAGATTTGTAGAAGAAAGAGTTGTTGGTTCAGAGGTTTTCTTGGTGTTTATCTGCTATTGTAAGTATTTGCTCCAGGGATGTGGAAGGGAAGGATGGCCAGGGAATATTTTTATCATACTTACTCTATGCTAGGTATAATTTTCGGATGGGTTGTGAATGTTACCTTATTTAAACAGCTATTATTACCAACAGATTATAAAAATGTGGACACATGATCAGGGAGATTAGGTAATTTGCCCCCAATCACACAGCCAGCAAGAGTTGAAGCCAGGACACCCTCTGTCCAATTCCACACTCTACCATCTCCATCCACTTGTCTTCTCACACTCGGGAAGGCACTGGAGAAGATTCCCTCTCACCCATGTAGAGACGGACACTGATGAAAGTTTCAGAAGGCTTTTGCCATCGTAATTATTCACATCACTCTCAATCTCCTGAACTAGACTTCTCCAGGAGGTCAGGACATCACTTGCTTCATTTAGTACAGGTGGGCATAAAGATACTTATTCCATTGAAATAGAAAAACAATCATGATATCCAGGAATTGGGAAAAATATTAAAACAAATTCTCTTTATATAAAAATCTGAATATCAACCACAGCACAAGGAACCTTTCCAACATTATCAATCCAGTTGAAAAGTTGATAGGTTAAAAAACTAAAGCAAAGACAGTAGAAAGGCAAAACCGAAGCCGACCACATGCTGGACGGTGTGTGGGCGGGAAAGGTCCGAGCAGAGGCGGCACACCATCCCCACGGTCGTCCACTTCAGCAGAGCCACTGCCCACCCTGCTGTAAATGTGACGATGGGATTACAGTGCACGGCACTGTCCATCTTGGAAGAATCAACCGCCTTGAGCTTCTTTCCCTCACTCTGGTGCAGCGCAGGGGACCCACACACGTCTGACTGCCCGGTGCTGGCCACGTACCACCCTGACCTCTCACCTGGCTCCACTTCATGCCATCCGCTCGACTGGCTGCCGCTTCCTGGGGAGCGCCCCTGGCCAGTATAGAACGGCTCTTCACCAGGACTGTCCATCTCGTCCTCCACAGACTTGAGGCGCTTCGTGGAGCTGAAATAACAAACAGCAGCATATTTAAAAGTAATACAAGCCACCTCTCCCTCGGACACGGCACCTCTGGTTGAAAGCAAGCCGAGGGAACATAACTGGGCAGCTCTGGGCCTCTTTCAGGTCTTGTTCAGCTGAGCGAGTCACTGGAGGCAGAACAAGGTCTTGGGTCTGTGTGTACAAGTGTCTGTTTTGATTTTTATTGTCACTCTGGTTCCTGCTGCTACCACAACCTATCCCCTTTTCCTCTGAGGACCTGCTGCTGGCTCCCGGCCACCTCCACCTGGAAGTGCTGGTTGTAAGCCCATGTATTTCCCAACTCACAGGCGGTGGCTGGGGCCTGGCCATCCGCAATGCCCCTAGACATCAATCCAGTCCCGCTGGAACCCCAGGAAGCAGGACTCATGATCCTTCAGGAGAAGACAGAATGGCCCTTTTGTCTATGTGTGCCATGTTCACCTGTCTCCCGTTTATTCATTTAAAAAGATATTTACGGCTCGACGCCTATAGCTCAACCGGCTAAGGCGCCAGCCACGTACACCTAAGGTGGCGGGTTCGAATCCCCAGCCCGGACCCGCCAAACAACAATGAC